CTAGATTTTGGCATTTAGCAACTGGCATACGGTTTAATGTGAAGTCAACAACAACAACAACAACATACGGTTTAATGTGAAGTCAACAACAAGTGACGGTTTCGCTTTGAAGAGGTACGGTTTCGTGTCCCCCATCCCCCCCCTCCCCCACGGCCAATTAATTCGCCCATCAAGGTTTCTAACCGTTAGCAGGGCGAATGCAGGGCGCGTATTTGCTATATTGAGGTGCACACCAAATCTCGAACAGGTAGCTGCTGCTGGTTACCAGACAACCATCTGCCTCAGGCTAACGGGCGTGTGTGCTTGTAGATATAAACAGAGAGCGTGGAGCAGGGCTCGTGTGGAAGAGCTTTTGGAGCGCGCGAGCGATATTCTGTCCTGTGGAAAAGGGAAAAGGTTTGCGAGCCAGAGAGATTGGGACGGCATCAAACACCGTTGGAGGGAAAAGAGAAAGCCGCACACGACCATGGACGCAATTCTCGGCTTGCTTGGGATATGCGGGGCAAACTGTGCGGAGGATCGTGATGCAGACAGCAAGGGACGCACGGAAGGAGTGGTGAGTGTTGCTGGCTTCTATGCCCTTCAAGGTGCTGTTCGTGTGAAGTGGGTCACTGCAGCAGTCTGATACTTACACTTTCCACGCATATGCATATGATGCTGCGTTTCAGAATGTGTGCATCAGTATGAAGCGAGTCCAGCCACCGCAGTTGGATGAAGCGGGGGGGCGCCGCGAGCCCCACGTCGCGGCGTGCGATGCACCAAAGGTCCATGCTGCAAACTGGGAGAATGCGTGCGTGAGCGTGTTTCAATTGCAACGTCGACTGCGCGTTTGCGGGATGACATCAACAGCTAGCTCCTGTATTCCTAGCTCGTGAACGACAAGACGAGGTTCAACGGGATCTGTGCACAACACGCAAGCGGCAAAAACGCAGGTCCCCCATGCTGTGAGGCTGGTCCGCACCAACCCATAACTCCCACACGATAGCATCCTCGTTGCACCTGTCAGGGCGTGGAGTCTGTCCCCCCGTCTGCTTTATGTCGTCGGTTGAATTAGTTTTTCGGAGACGACATAGGTGCTGGGTGCGGGGCGCGCAAGAAAAAACAGGAAAAAAAAGAATACGGGAGATTGGTACTGTATTCAGACGGGAGAACTCTTGGGCACTGTCTCTCAGGGTGCGTAGCCGTTCAACAGGGGAAAATAAGGGGTAGCCTAGATGACGATACCAGCAGCAGGCAGATAATCCGTCGACCTCTTGGGCACAACATTCCGCACGACCAAAGAGCGGCCTTTTCCCCCCGGCGACGAAATCTTTCATCTTTTTGCCGGTGCTGCACCTGTGGGTCTGTTCGTCAGCAGCAGCCTGAGCCCAGGCCGCCTCGGCGGGGCCGGCGGGGACGTGATCTTCGACGATGAAGAATCGCAGTTTCGTCTTGTCCGCCGTACCGTCGCTCTCAACCATTGTTGCTCACTTTTTTGAGGGAAAACACATATGGATTCATTCCTAATCTGTCTTGGACTCTTATCTTAGATAAGGATGGATTCGTTGTGTCATATTTAGAAAATATGGAGTATATAACACATGGATGCACTACAACATTCCAAGTATTCCTATTTCTACCCCCGCCGTGTTGGTTTTGTTTGTTTGTTTGTTTTTCTCCCATCATTGGACTCTGTCGTCTGCCCCTCTGGCCCCTATCCTCCACTTCTACTAGCTAGACGACCCAACCGGGGTCACATAGGAGGGGGGGGTTGGACCCCCTCCTGCGGTTTGTTGTTGTTGTTGTTGTTGTTGTTTCTCACATTAGCTCTATAGTCCACAAAAAATGGGGAGCCCGTGGTCTCAAAACCCGGCACATACGACGCCGAGCGGTGTGTTGGTGCGGTTTGATTCCGGAATCGCATCACTATTGTTCCAGAGCAAGAGCAAACCGCCAGCATTAAACGAAAGTATTCACAACACAACGACGTTGCCATGTGCCGGCAGTCTCATGTAGAACGAACGCCAAGAAGTGGGACATCCGCTGCTTCCGTGTCTGCCCCACCCCCTTTTTTTTGTCTCGGCAAACCAATGAAACTCTCTCTCTCTGTCTGTTTCTCTCGTTTGATTTTCTGAAAATGAGCTCGTTAAATTACAGCAGTACGGCTGCCGTTTTACGCAAGCAAGGGCTGCTGCTGGACCGATGAATGTCGTACCTAGAAACCGCGAGAACAGAATGGCACTTATATCCGAATTCATCAACATGTTTTCTAGGTTGCCGATGGTGCCGTGTGTCTTCACGTACCTTTTGCCCTTGGAACTAGAAATTGACAACCGAGGTGTGTTACTTCGGTATCTCAGATCAATCGAGTTTATTACTACGATAATAAAACCGCATTAATCAATACGCGTTGTGCTGTTTTATGATGCAGAACATGGTGTCGCAACCACCATCGGCATTAGCTGGCGCCACTGATGACCTCGGTGCTATGCTTAGATGCTCCCGCTGTTTGTGAATGTTTGTGTGCGTGTTCCAGCTCTCCTCTCTCTGTGCGTATCGCCGACTTTCGTGATATGCCCGTTGCAACAGCAGTAGTGCTTCACGGTTCTCACTTGTTTGCCGTTTGCTTTGTACCAAAGCCCTTCCTTGAACCTGGTGCGCATCGCCCCGCCCCGCCCCGGTTGAAGTTACAGCCGTATTTTCTTTTTTTTTGCTCTTCCCGTCCTCGCGTGCTTTCGCCGGCACTCAGCCCCAGCGTGAACTCGCTGCGATGCAATGATCAATGATACACAGCAGTGGGATAGTGGCTCTTGCCTGAAGAGCCAGCGAGGGACAGGCCATTTGAGTAGGAAGCACACTCGCGCTGAATTTGATGGGTTCATGATTTTAGAGGAAAGTAAATACTCGGAGTAGCAAATAGTACAGCAGTGTACGGAGGCAAAGGAATAGCCACAGCAAGTAAACACTCGTTTGCTGATCCTACTTCTAGTACTTGGTATATAACATGCCATACATTTGCAAACAGCATTTCACTCGGCCGCGAGCCACACGATGAACGGCTTTAAAGGGCAAACAAGTACACAGAAACACTCTCGTTTTTTCTGAGTTTGGAGTTTACAAAAACGCTACAACGGCAGTCCACACGGCCTTGCCACACGCATTGCCCGTGACCATTCGTGTCGGACGTTCTCATGTTCAGGAAAATATATACTGAAACGGAACGACTACCCATTCGAGATATACCCACAGCCAGTCGAACGGGATGTGGTGGAGTTTCTTCAGCGGGTGGAGGAAGACCGGCTGGGTGCTGGACTTATTTCGAGTCCTTTTGAGTCTAAACACTGATGATTTTTATCAGTGATGCCAGTTGGTCCTACGTGCCAAGTACAAAAACATCTTTCAGTATAAGGTAACCTACATTTTACATCCCCTATAGTTCTCTCCTGGGTCGACGACAAAATATCGAGGAGACGCCCTCCGTTGTGTCGTGTGTTGTAAAATGTAAGCTTCACAGGGGACACGGCGCAGTGTCTTTTGACAGCTTGCTGGTTTGTTAGGTTTTAGGAATGGTATTGTTGTAGAAATCATGGAAGATGGAACGAAGGCTACAACAGGACACATCACTCGTTTTTCAAATCTACAGATTTTTTTATTTTACGGGCAGCAGGTGTTTCCCGCCGTTTTTTGAATTTACAAGACGTATTTGATCCTTCAGGGTAACGTTTCTCTTGTTATTTTTCTTCAATACGCACGAATGACAGGAGCAGGCCTTGGAAGATGACCCGTCCACCAAGGCTCGGCGCGTGTACCACATGGGCAACCTCCTCCAGAAGAGGGGGGAGGTGAAGGAGGCCGCCAAGATGTACCGTAGCGCGGTCAAGCTCGACCCCGCGCACAAGGCGTCTCACTACAACCTCGGTCGGTGTTTACGTACTGCTGTACGCCAGCAGGGCAGTGTTTTTTCGAGGAAAAACTTGTTGGATAAAGCGTGCATTCGGGGAAGTTGGATGAGGGTTAGGAATGGTCTGTGTACCCCCGCCCCGTCCTATATTGTACATATCCTCAGAAACTTATTTCTCATAAACTTGTCTAGTTTCTCGCGCAGGCGGTCTTACATGAAAACTAGTCTAATGGTTTGATTTCGGCTTATATAGGTCCCATGTATAAGTACGTGGGGAGGGGCGTGGGGCCGCAGCATCTCTATTAGACTGCAACGGTTGCGTTGTACTTGTTGCTTGGTTTGGGGTGACATTTGATGTTCTTTGCTGCCCTTGCAAAGTTTTCGATCCATGAACCTCGAACCCGCACTCTTTCACCTTACACCGTGCCTTCGCACGTGGGAATCAGAACTCCGAATCGAAATAAAATATTTCGATTCTTAGGTTGTAGGTTTCGAGTTGGCCCTAGTTATTCCACCGGAAACTTTTTAGAAAACTCACGAACTTTGTACAAATCCGAGTTGGTTTGGTCGCCCGAGCATGCATTGCGGTTTTTGATATGCCCCTGCGGAGAAGAAAAAGTAGATAACGTGTTAAAAGGAGGAAAGCCTTATTAAAGAAGACAGCAGCGAGCGCGTCAGCGCCAGTTGCCAGACCAGCGGAAAGGAAGGCTGTGCGCGTGCACGCAGGCAAGCCAACATGCAGTAGATAGTGGTATCTTTTGTTTTTTCTCGCATGAGGAGGCGTTGACGCATCTGGGCATTCTCTCCTCCTCTGCCCAATCAGGAATCGCGCTTCAAGAGCTGGGCGAGCTGGATGAGGCTGCCTCTTGCTATGAGAAGGCAATCGCGCTGGCACCGGACTATGTTCTGGCTCACTACAACCTCGCCTACGTCAGACAAGACCAGGTTTGTATGCGTGTGTTTTGGTGAGTAGTATCCACCGCGTTCACTTTTAGCCTACTACCAATGAACAGATTCCAGTCTTTGGGGTGGAATATATAAACGCGAAAAAAATGTGTTTTTTTAGTCTGCGGGCTCCCCGTCGATAGGCCGTCCACGGCCGGGAGGGGAGTTGAACGATCAGGTCCGGTCTCTCTCCTCATCAAGAGGATACTCCACCTTCGCGTTGTTGACGTCGTCGTCGTCGTTGCTGCTATTGATTTGGATTTGGTTTGTCTTGACCTTCCATCTAGGGTAACAGGTTTTCCGTCTGCCTCCAGCTTCCTTCCGTCAATCCGGGACACGCGCCCATCCCCATCACGTACTATTAGTGGATCCGTGTGTTTCGGGCATTCATGTAAAGGTACTGCGCCACTTGTCGCGCGCTGTACTGCTGTTCCGTGAAAATGTGCAAACTCCACTGCAGTCAGTCATGGGTCTTGGGGACTGCATTGCCGTTAGACGGAAGCCCGGACCATTGTTTGATTTGCATACACGCACACTAGCGGGATTGTGTGTATTGGTCGCCGATAGATGGGCTTTACTGCTGGTGGTGATTCGTTCGTTCTGCCTTCGCGCGCGCGTCTTTTTTTTCTTCTCCATGGACAATTCCACCCGCAAATCCGATCCGATCGGTGATGTTTTGACGACACTGCTGAGAAAACGCCCCTGTGCATGCATGCTCCCCTTGGTATACACCCGATGATCGCGCAGGGGAGGCTGATCGAAGCCGCGCAGCACTTCCGCGTCGCGGCGGACCTGGACCCAAGCGACGTGGACATTCACATCAGCCTTGGCAATGTGCTCAGACAGGACGGGGAATCGGCCGCGGCGATAGCGTGAGCGCCGGGCTTATTTCATTGTGTTCCTTTTTGAGGAGGTTTGTTAGACCTTCTTTTTTGGTATTTTGGAGTGCATTTACTGTCCAAACTGGCACGCATCGACGGAGGGCTTCTCTGTAATATGGAAGGCGTCTGCACTGCTGTAGTGAGCGGTCGATGTGTCCTTCAAGAGTCGTTCGAGTTTCTGCAGTGGAGATGTTGATCCACATGGAAAAGAGAAGTGGTGCGTTGTTGGAGGAGTACTGTCATGCTGATTGCCTCGCCCGAAAAAAAACAATGTATCCGCATGCAGCATGTTGTACGTGGCGTGGTCTGCTGGAACACCGTCGTACCATGTATTTGCAAAACTCACGTCGCGGCGATTTCTCTACTCTACGGTGAACCCGCTTGTTCTCTCTCTCTGTACCGTGCCGTTGTACATTACTGCGTCTCCGTCTTCGTACGGCCTTGCCGGGCGCAGGGCGTACGAGGAAGCTATGCAGCTCGACAGCACCAACCGGATGGCGGCTTACAACCTGGTAAGGATTACAACCGCGGATACTTTATTCGAGAAGCGGGGTCGCCGGCGGTGTACGACTTGGCCCGCCCTCTATGAGTGCCTGTCGGTCAATTCAGCTGAAGCGCAACTATACTGTTGTTACTCATCATCGGAGATTTTGGCGGCGTTTCATTGGTAGAACCAAATCTCTAGAATGCCACACATGTGGTTCCTCCCGTGTTGTTCATGTCCTTGGCCTTTCTGCAGCTCCTGCTTGGGTATGCGTTAGCTTGCTGTGGTGTTTGGCTGCACATGGCACAATGAAGGTGGTTACCCCTCCCCTCTTTGATTCTCTTCTGGTAATGTTTGTTGCGACGAAAAGCATTCGATGTTGACCGTTTGTGCTCTCTCGTCGGTGGTGGTGGTGTGCGTTTTTGCTCGTCTGTCTTCACGTATGTGCTTGCAGGGAGGGATATTGCAAGACAACTTCGAGGAAGAGAAGGCGATCGAGTGCTTCAACCGCACCATCCAGATCGACCCGGATTACGCCGACGCTCACTACAAGTGAGTCCCTCCCTCTCTCGTGCCGTCCGTCGTACTCATCGCAAAACTAATTTGTTGTCGGTGAAAAATTAGTAGACATTCTCGTCTCTCTTTCGCTGTGTCAGTCGACTTATTGTGTTTCAGTTGTTGGCTAGATTGCGGAAGAAAAATAGCCAAGTCTTATTTGGGTTCCCCGGTGCATCGATTCCGTGGTCTGGGTTACCGGGAATGTTTTCCGCGTGTTTGACGTCCCTCCCTGTGCGGCTGCGGCTTTGGGAGTTTGTTTATGTCCTCAGCTACCCGCTCGTTGGCCTCGATGATGTATTTCACCCTCCTCTTCTCCCGTCGAATCGGCTCCCTCGCCCTGAACCGTGCCGCGTAGCCCCGCAGCCCCGCGTTCTCACCACCGCCCCCCCCCCCCCC